ATTTTTTGGGTTTTGATTTTTAAAAATATCTGGTAACCCTTGGCTGTTCTTTCAAAAAAAAAATTTCTTTTGAGACAAAGTCTGGCTCTGCTGCCTAGGCTGGAGTGCAGTGGTGCGATCTTGGCTTGCTGCAACCTCTGCCTCCTGGGTTCAAGTGATTCTCCTGCCTCAGCCTCCCAAGTAGCTGGGACTATAGGCATGTGCCACCAAGCCCAGTTAATTTTTGTATTTTTAGTAGAGATGAAGTTTCACCTTGTTGGCCAGGATGGTCTCGATCTCTTGACCTCATGATCTTCCTGACTCAGCCTCCCAAAGTGCTGGGATTACAGGAGTGAGCCACCGCGCCTGGACATGCTCCACTTCTTACATTAGGTAGTAGATTCACAGATTCTTATGATATTAACAAGTTTTATTAAAAATATATATATGTGTATATACATATGTATATGTATACACACACATGCATATGCATATATACACACAGATGTGTTAAGGTTTTTTCTATGTCAACTATTACACTAATATAAATAAAACAAGAAAAAAAAGAAAAAAGGCATCTTATACTTTATATTCTGTGTGTGCGTATCTTCAGATGGGAGATACATGTTTTCTTTCCTTTACTGTTAGAGGAAAAAAACCAAATTGTTCCTTAATGGCAATAATATAAGGAATGGAATGACTTGGTCTTAATAGTAAATCTACAATTTTGTGGTCTTATTTATACTTGATTATCTTTATGTTAGCAATGTAAAGTGGTTTGTTCTTGTATAAAGTATATAGCAATATAATTAATAGTTGGGAATGATAATTTTTCACAAATATGGTCTTTCCTAAAGATGTGTAGATTTTTGACAAAATAGGAAAATACTAAACAATTGAACATTTTAGAAAAAAGGTTACTAAGTGATTTAACTTGCCTATGTTTTATTATAGAAATTAAAGAAATTATAATTAAATTACATTTTTACATTTCGATAAGAGAAATAAGCACAAGAAGTAGCCAAATAACATCAAATTACAAGTTAAAATTGAGATTTCTTCATTAAGTAATCATGTATTTTATAATAATACTTATCTAAGGTAATTTTTAAATTATTAGATAAAATCATAATGATATGCAAATAATGGGATTCTAAACTCTCTCAAATTAAAATAATACTTGAGTGAAACTAATTTCTTTTTTTCCTTCCTTCCTTTCTTCTTTCTTCCTCCCTCCCTCCTTTCTTCTTTTCTTTTCTTTAATTTTTCTTTCTTTTTCGGCTTGCAAAGTTTCTCAGGCTGGAGTGCAGTGGTGTCATCATGGCTCACTGCAACCTTGACCTGCCAGGCTGAGGAGATCCTCACCTCAGCTTCCTGAATAGCTGGGACTACAGGTGCATGCCGCTATGTCTGGCCAATTTTCCTACTTTTTGGCAGAGATGAGGTTGTGTCCTGTTATTCAGGCTGGTCTCAAACTCGTGGGTTCAAGCTTGCCGAGGCCTCACAAAGTACTGGGATTATAGACATGAGCCACCACGGCTGGCCAAACATACTTTCTTATCAGAACTATTACATATAATCACTGTCCAGAGAGGTCAATGTGATTTGAAGGAATGTGATATGAAAGGTTTTACATATACAAGATTCAATACCCGAGTAACATATAGGAAAAGTTGATTTAGAAACAGACTTTTTTGCTTACCTAATTTCAAACATATTTTTATTTAGTATACTGGATGACTTTTAAGTTACAATGTGGCTTTAAGTTCAGCTATCAGTGCCCAATGGTTATATGACAAGTGTATGTATAGACATATATCTTGGTATTTTTAGGAAACATTGAGGTTTTCCAATCCTGGGTTTCTGTTAGGATCTAAAAGTCATAGTTGTAAATCACTGAAAAAGGAACATAAAAATGACATGACCATAATGGAAGCAATTTCCAAGCAGAACGCAAGGAGATGAGTATCCCTGGCTGGAGGTGAAAACTATCCTGTAAATTTAATTGCTTCACTTAGTTAAATTAAGCAATATTAAGTCAATTGTACTCTTTCCAGATACCAAAGCTCTATCTGGAGCTGAGTACAAGGATGAACAAACTGAACAGCAAACATCAGTATACAGGACACAAAATAGTTTTTGGATACATTTTGACATTTTCCTGATTCTTGCTCGAATAAATCACTACCGGCAAAAATGATTTCTGTACCTCCACACATCAGTTTGCTAAAGCGTCATCCCTGTCACTGACTGCACTGTGATATAGAAAATTAATCTTTCTTCTGCTCAGAGAACTTGCTAGAGCAAGGCGAATGGGAATCCTTGGCTGGGGATGGAGACTAAACTTTAAGTTAAATTGATCTCACTTAATTAAATTGAGCAATATTAAGCTAATTTCTCTCCTTTCAGTAAGCGAAGCTACACCTGTGAAGCTTATCAAAGCAGAACTCAACACTGCTCTATCCAAAATATTATAAACACCTGACGCCAAATTCAACATTGTATGAGTGTGTGGTAGACAAAACATTATTTTTCTCGCTAGGGAAGGGGAAGCATAGTTTCCATGGCTAGAGTCATTATTGTCTTAATTTATGAAATACGTGAAATAAGCTAACAGCAAATTCAAAAGCCTATAAATAAGGGATGACTCATTGTTCGACCAGAATGTTAGAGTAATATTCAGAATGAACTTTATCTTCTGATGTTGTACAGCAGTACCATTAAATGCAGCCGAGGAGCAGAAGAAGAAGCATTTAGCAATAGAATTCATAGATGTAGATAATATTTTTTCTGAACAGTTTCCAAACTGTTGACATAAGGGTTGTATATTTTGAAGAGTTCCTTCTATGTACGCATTCACCGCATGTTCGAGTGCCTATTAGGTGCCTTGCATTGTTCTAGGGTCTGTGAATGCAGCAGGGAAAGAAAACAAGGGACAAATAAATGAAATTTATGTTACGGCATGTAATATGTTTTATGCACAAAGAGAGTTGCGACCAAATATCCCCTAGTAATTTAAAATGTGTTCACTAAAAATTATCTACTTAAAAATCTATCTACTTTTAAACATCTTTTGATTTTGCAGAAAATCAACCATCATTTCAGTCAGATTGTCTGATAGAGCTTTAAATGAATAAGTACCGGTAAACAACGTTTTCCATGTCATCCACTGTTCATGCTTGTCAATGGAGAATTGTGAGTTAACTGGAGAAAAGCAATCCCCTTTTAGAATTTGATACTGGAACAGAACATGTTCATAAGCATAGTTCTTTGTAGCTGTGCATGCTGTACCAGCCATGGCAAAGCATCTGAATAGAAGCAGAGTAATGTTTTATTCTCCTTAACCACTTCAGACAAGCATTGTGAAAAAATCAGCTTTCCGTTCATTTTTACTTCTGAGCATAGATTAAGCATATTCAGCAAGCCCATGATGATAGATAGCAAAAAAAAAAAAATCTGTTTCTTTCCATCAAGGTCTCTGAGATCAATAGGAACATTAAAATGGAAGAGAGACAAGAGGAAAACGCAAACACAAGGAGTAGATCAAACCCATGCATTTTAGTGTGTCAGTTTGATAATTTGCAGTGCTAAAGGCGTCAGTTGTGAAGATGCAGTTATCTTGAAAAGGTCGGATCCAACTTTAAGTGATATTGTTGAATTCGTAAACTTGTCATTTTGCATTTAGAATTTTAAACCACAATCTAAATAATATTCTATTATAAAAACAAATAATTTATTGAAAAAACACTGAATAAAAATTTGTAATCCTTTGTCTGTAAGAAACTTGCAATTCTAACTGGAAGACCTAAATTTCAGAAAAAAATATATATATTTTGAGATACTCAGAAGCAACAGTAAAAGGGACACAGAGAAGTCATCCTCTAATCAATAGGTTGTAGGTTATAATTTAGTAGACATTTGTCAAAATTTAAAACTAGAGAAAATGAGACTTAGTTTCTCTGGATGAAACGAGTCAGTCTCACCAAAAGGCAATGGAATAACTGGCTGAGTTGAGGAGTTGCTGTCTTCCCAGTTGATACAATCAAGAGTTGAGAGAGCAAAAAGGGCCTCCCTGGAGAGTGAAGGGAGAGGTATCTCTTCTGAAGATAAGCTGGGACCTAGCCAGTTGTGTACGGAGGAAGGTAGTTAGCAACTCTATGAGAAGGGGACCCATGAGTCCTGGAAGCAGCCACATGACACCGTATGGCATCCCCTTCTGTTTGCCCTGAGCCCTTAAAAAGGCTTCCTAAGTATTTCATGGTGATCTCGGCTGTGCCTTGCTGTAAAATATGCAAGAAAGTTTCTGGGTCCAGGCTCCCATGAGGCAGTAAGAGGAGCGTGCTCTGAAGCTGGGATAGCCAGGGTGTGTTTCCCCCCAGGAACAGCAGTGGGGGCAGACCGCAGGGGCAGACCACATCACTGCATAATCACCAGGAGTGGCCAGGCTGATGTCAATCAGGACAGAAGGATTCCGCTTCACCTATGTGATGTAAATACCCCTTCCTACCCTGATGCCCTAGATTGGATAGTGCCTCAGTGGGAGATCCAGTGGGCTGAGGAAGGGAAACCTGGAGGAGAATGAAGACCTGCTAGGGACGGGTGCTTCCTCATAGCCAGAGGGCTGCAGTGTTTACTCTGGGCAGCCTCACTCTCCCATTGGCTTTGTGACACTATTTTCCTGCTCTCAGGTTATTCACAGAGCTGCCCTGACAAGAACGAGGGTGACTAATTCTACGACTTATTTCTCTCAATTCCTTATTTTGTCCTCCCAGACAAGTGGCAGTCAAGTCAAGCTCTCTACCCTCCCTGTCTGTCACTGTACAACTCGATTCAACCACAAACCACACAGCGTTTCTTCTCCCTCTTGCTCTGCCTCTTCTCTTTCTCTTTCCCTAAATATCATTCCGCTCTCTTTCATTCTTGTAAAAGCAGTTTAGCCCAGATTGTGAGGGATTTTGAATGCTTGTCTAAGATTACATGCTTTATGAATGCAAAATAGGAAATGAATTGTGGTTTTTTCTTTTAAGACAATTATCTCTTAACCTAATTTGTGGTCTTTCTTTTTGCTCCTTAAATATTGCTGCTACCCAGGATGTTTTGATTCTGTTTTTCTTTGTTTTTCTGTTTGTCTGTTTGTTTTCTTATTCTTCCATACCCTTCTTGTGGGAACTGTCTCCTCACTAGATTAGGGCTTTCAAATCTATACCTACCTCATACACTAACGGGCCATTCACTGATTCTATCTCTAGGCCAGAGGTTTCTCTGAACTGCAGATACATATACACAACACACAACACATACACAACACACTACCAGCTCCTTTTGGAAAGACCCTAGAATCAGCACATTGACACTGGAATTTAGCCTTTCCCCACAAAAACATGCCTGTCTTTCCACATAATACATCAATTGTATCATTACAACTCCCATGCCCCAAGACATGAAACTGAACTTCATATTTGATTTCTTCCTTCACTTTGGCCCTATACAATCTATGGGTCAAGTTCTACTAAAATCTTCAAAGAATTTTTCAACTGTATACTTCCCTTAAGTCTTTCTTGCATTGATTTCCATAATCATGAAATGCTCATAATATAATGTTCCATATAAAATTTCTGATTTGTTCTATGAGTGCTGCTGAAGTCATCTTTTTGAAACATAAACTTTCAACTTATATGATCATGTGACCCTTCAACAGTAAGTTCTTTCATGGATCATCATTGTCTTCAGGACACAATCAGTATCATTTAGAATAATATTCACTGTCCTTAATGATCTGTCTACAGGCCTTGACATTACAATCTCATTTTCTCAATTTTACTACTCTGCAGTCATTGCCATTCTCTAAGTATGGAATCCTCTCTTTGCAGCAGTGGTTCCTCTCACTGGTGGCTGTGTCTGCCTGAAGTCCCCTTTCCCCATACTTCTCAGACTCCTGTCCTCCTGCGAGGAGGTTTGTGTCCAGTTGTTTTCAAAACTCCTCCAGAAAGTATTCCCTCCAGTCTATGCTCTGTGCCCAGACTTGTGTGCCCAAAAAAGTCCTGCAGCTATTCTGTGCTTCTGTAAGAGCCCTTTGAGTATCAGACAAGCTGATATAAGCGTGAGTATGACTTTAGGTTCAAAATGCACAAGATACATTATAAGGCAATAATTAGTTATGCATAGTGTTTCTCAGGGAGATTTCTGAAATATATTATTATTCAGAGAGATCACAAATCACATACCTTGTTATTCAGGGAGATTTACTAATACACTATGTTATTTTATTTACATTTAATTCACCATGAAATGTAAATCTTAGAAGCCATCCTAGTTGAGGTATAAAATCAAAACACAAAAAGCAAAAGCATATCCATGCTTCTAAGTCATGAGGACTAATCTCGAGCAACCTGTATGACCCTTTAAGAAAACTAAGAGGTTTTCTCCTTGAAAAGTGGTAATTGTTTCAGAGCAATAGCATTTTCCCTTTGAAATTCATCTCAAAAATCAACAAAAGGTTACCAGTTACCATTAGAATAGATATAATGTTTGTATCATTCCTTTAACACAAAAATTTCAGATATTATTGAAAGTCAATTTGCTGTAACAACGTTTATGTGTCAGAAATTGAATTCAATTCCGTAAGGCTCCAGGTGAGTATTATCTAGAGATAGTTCTTCCAACCCCAAAGATTAGTAAATTTTTCTCAAAAGATGAGACACAAACTGCATAGAAAATTAAATGCAATGCCCAAGAGCATGTCCTCCTTTTATTAGAAAAACCAACAAACACATTGCTCAGTATGTTGTCTTGCATAAATATCAAACATGCAGAGTTTGCTACTGTTTTCTTGTTCTGAAATAAAATTGCTCCCAGTTGATTTCTCATTTTAAGTCTACTAGGTAAGGGCCCAACTTAGGTAATTGGGCATATTTTTCAGTAAGAGAGGGAGCTGTAGGTGGATTCTGAAGAACTTGGTTTAATTTCTTCATCAACTTGGCTGGTGGTACTCCAGAACAAGATAATTACGATTTTTTGGACTGTGATTCGCTCTCATATATAATGGAACCTGTAAGACCAATGGGACCAAATGAATGAGGGTAGAACGAGAGGATGCCTATGAATATGCCATAGAGCACTAACCTGAGCTACTGAATAAAATTGCAGAGAGACTCCAATATTAATGTGCACACGTATGGCTTTTAGTTTCATTGAAGCTTCAAAATAATCACTGCTATTTTATTTCCTTTTTTGATATACATTTCAAATAGTGAAAATATTATCCATGTAAACATGAGAAAATAGTAAAGACTTGCATTTTATTTTTTCCATTGACCAAAATCTCATTGAGATTTTACAGAGATTAGAGAAACACAAATTAATAGTTACAAAAATCAGGAAGGGACACAACATTGTTTTGGAAGTTTAAAATCAGATGGGTGATGAGTAACTTGCTTAGAAGGCTAATGCTTAACCCTGTCCTAAGCCAGCAGTAGGCAAAGAATAGGAGTAAGAAAATTTAAATTGCAGAATTTTGGTAAAACTAGGAAATGTAAAACCTAAATGTCTGAAAGTGTTGCCTCAAGTGGACAGAAAATAAAACTGGTTTATAGGCTACCTAAAGAGTTTAATGACAAACTCATAGACCATAATTGCAACAAATTACAAATGAAAAAAGGGGTATTTAAAATAGTCAGAAACCTTCTAAAAGTCAATAAAGAAAAAAAGTCAAATAACCCTTTATAAAAATGGACCCAAGACAGGAACAAGCATTTTAGGAAAGAAAAAACCCAAATGGTCAATCATCATCAAAAAACACTCAATGCCCACTAGGGAGAGGCACATTCCATTCACAACACAACATTATTCAACTATCAATTAGAAATAAACGCAGACAATGAATGCTTGTGACTAAGAGGAGCAACTAGTTTGTAAATTCTAGTAGGAACTAGTAATTATTTTACAAATTTATAAATTTGTAAAATAATTGTGGAAAATAGTCTAGTTAAAGGTGTCCATATCGAATGTCTCACCAAATATATACCCTTAAAAAACAAAAATCAGCTCGCACAGTGGCTCAAGCCTGTAATCCCAGCACTTTGGGAGGCCGAGGCGGGTGGATCGCAAGGTCAAGAGATCGAGACCATCCTCTTCAACATGGTGAAACCCGGTCTGTACTAAAAATACAAAAATTAGCTGGGCGTGGTAGTGCACACCGGTAGTCCCAGCTACTTGGGAGGCTGAGGCAGGAGAATTGCTTGAGCCCAGGAGGCGGAGGTTGCGGTGAGCCGAGATCGCGCCACTGCATACCAGCCTGGGTAACAAGAGTAAAACTCTGTCTCAAAACAAACAAACAAACAAACAAACAACAACAACAAAAAGAAAAATCTCTTACACTCTTACACATGTACATAAAGGTACAACAGAATGTCTTTTCACTGAAGCATCTT